GGACTCTGGACTATTTTCAAAAAATATTTTTTTGTTACCCAGTGTAATGAATGCACCCAATATCAGGCTTGTTCACACCAATATATCACCACATTTCATAGTCCCAGGGCAACTAAAAGAAATAGCACTCAAGTAGCTCTCTACCTATCGTCTGGGGAAAGTAGCTCTCTGTGTGAAAAAAGGTTGGAGACACCTGACCTAGACAGATGTGGGATTCTCTAATCCGGCCAATAAAAAATGTAGTAAAGATTCCTCGACCGTTAGAAGAACTTACTGCTTATGAGACTTAGATTCCTGTCTTCATTGAGCTAGCGGGTTAGCATTGTCCACCTCCACAGTCTACACACTACTGTTACAGACCATAAACCCAGTCTCCCGTGTGTGGGGGGGAACCATAATGACAGGATCCCATTACAGCAGCTCCTGTGACAGAGTTAAAGGTTTAAGAGCAGTGGGTAGAGAACATACGGGGGAGGATTCAGGGTCGGATCAGAAAAGGAGAGCTTTTGTTCTTTGTTACAACACATTCAAACAGTGAATACAGGTTACATTGTATTAGTCCAAACCAGTGGGGGCGGGTCTCAAAAGGGTCCGTGAGCACATGCGCTGACATGCTGTATTCTCACTTCTTGCTGGTGGGGGTGTACAGGAAACAGAATTATCCACTGAATTCTAATGGCGCCTTCGTTCCTCTCAAAAACGTCTTTACAGGATGGTCCAAAAGATGTTCTTGGTCCAAATCTACGTTCCGGATGCTGTCGATGTTGAGGGTTTTTTTTTGGTTGTTTTTGGAGCAGTCTAGTTTAGTCGCTGTGGACTTGAATGCACTCATTATTCATGCTCCATTGAGCTCAGTTAACATGTGGCAGGGGTTAACTCCTTTTGCAATAGCATTTAGCCTAGCCATCTCCTTTGCCGCTAACGGAGCCCGTGGGGAGTAGCACCACAATTTTTCCTGTGATTACATTTGCTAAACAAATTTTTTTTTGTGCAGCACTTTTGAAACGTGTTTTATAAAATGTGCTATATAAATTAACGTCTGAACTCTGATATCTCTAAACAGCTCTTTACAGCTGCTGCGGCCTTCTCAGTGTGTAGTCTATATTAGGGTTGCCAACTTGAGAACAAAAAAATAAGGGACACCATTTGGGTGGATCGGGCTGAGCACTTTTTAGTCCTAATTTCAATTTACACAGCAAATATGGAATTTCATTATCACAGTTTTTAGAATTTAATTTATTGACTACGGATACAAAAACAAAAATAAATCCTTTTAACAAATAGGTGAAACTCTTTGGCTGGTTAAGGACTAATGCATTCTTATTAGTAATAAAAAATATAAAAAGACAAAGGCTATGATATACATTATTTATGAATGTTACAGGAAAGACCATTTACTGCAAAAGCAAATAAAAAAAGAAAAGATATGTATTCATTTGAAAAGAACTCACAAATGTTGAAATCAAAGTCTGTAGCAGTTAGACATGGTCATTATTTATATTGTCAGAGTTTAGTGCGTGTACATGGCTTCAGTAAAAGCTATTGTTCGTTTACAAAGCTGGTCTTGACATTTGTTGACGCTCCCTTTTACAAGCGCTGCTTTTCTCGGCGCTTGCAGTGCACTGGATTCAATGGATTTCTCGGCGTTAAAACAGTGCATTAGATTTTAATAATCAACGTAGAGATGACCATTTTAGCACAATTACTTATGTTTAACAAAGTAGCTTTCGTGAGCTATTGACTGCGGAAGTCCGAATCTGGGAATATGACGCTACTTTACCCAACTTCTCCATGATGATGCTGCAGGCACGGCCCACACTGGAGCTTGTCAACATTAAACCCATGGATGTGATCAAGCATACGCCCCCCTTTGACTCTGATTGGCCGAAAGGTGTGATTACTTTGTGTTTGCGTGTGTCGCGCGTTTGACATGCAGTGAGTGAGTGATGCATTTAAGACGACTCTGAAAATACGGGACAATTCCGTATTTCAAGAGACGGTTGGCAACCCTAGTCTATATGTTTATAATCAGCGCGTTAGCTTGATGTGCTCTGTTTCTCCTCTGCAGTGACAGCTCCAGGAACGCCTCAGGATTCCCCCAGATGAGCCGGAGAAGTGTGTGAGGAAAGGGAAGTCTGGCCTGCAATCCAGCAACGGATTAAGCGGAAGAAAATGACTGGTTCGAAAGTAAAAGTTGGTTGTGTGTTTGTCAATGGTGAGTCCTGGAGTCTTAAATGAATGTAAAGTGGAGTTAGGATGCACTAATTAGCACTTAATTAGCTGTTAATTAGTGAGGGCTAATCTGAAATGTTACCAAAAGTTGAATATAAAGACATAAAAATGTTTAATATCAATTTTTATTTTGTTTTTTTGTATTGCAGTGGGAGTGTGGGTGGGGATGGGTGTGGGGGGTAACTATTGTAGACAATTTTAAAGACGACTTCCACTTCTGTTAAAAGTCTATTCCGGTTTCTTCTTAACATCTCAGGGTCAATAGCGA